TGCTGGGAAGCCAGATGTTCTGACCTAGTTCTCAAACATGACAAGTAACCAGTTGTTTAACTAAATTAGGAGCCCCCTTTATTAGGAGCACCAGCAACCCCGGCAAAGAGTCTTTCTCCCTCAGCAGGATAATGAAGTCTAAGTGCCTGTGGAAAGTGAAGCTTACTTTCCTTCACCCTGAAATGGCTCCAACACACCAGGAGTCTCTCTCACTCACCACCCTCATAAGGAAAGTCATGGAAGGTGCGTCCACTTTTTTCCAAGTAGCGGAGACACACACGTACACACTACAAAGGTACACCCAAATCTCACTTCCTATTAACACCTTTCCCTGGAGAAAGGAGTTGAACTAGCACAAAACTATGCCTCAACCCCCATAGCTGCCACCCAAAAAGAACACCATGGTTGATGGTACCAAAAGTCATTGAGAGGTCAAGGAGAAGAAGGATGGTTGCACTACCCCATCCTGCTCTTGCTAGAGATCATTGACAAGTGTGAACAATGCTGTTTCCATCCCATAATGGCCACGAGGGCACTGCAATTGCTGCAACTTTGGCCACAGGCTTGTAAATTCTTTTGTTCTACACTGTTGTAATTTTGAATGGCCGCTTAATGAATGGTCATAAGTTGAGAACTACTTCTCAACTGGATGAAACATTTAAGAATGAACAAACCTTCATTTTTTTAAATTTATGCAAACTGTTTTTCGGTAATCTCTTACCTGAAGGCGAATAGCTGTCCAGCTCATAGGTCGCGCCATAATTGGAAGAATCAATGTCTACATACTTGATTTCACCCTTCATGTCAGACATGGGCACATAATCCAGTGATTCATCCTTACTCATGTCCATGTAGCCCCCATCGCTTTCTATTGATCCGGATGCATGGCTGTGAAGAGGGATCAGTTCTTTAAACCGTTTGTCCCCTTAGAACAGTTTTCTGATAATAAGTCCCCTCTAGTATAAAATCAGGAAGGCAAGAATCAAAACTTAACAGTATTTTCTTTCCCCATTATTTGTTTGCTATAGTGAAAGCTGCCCATAGGCAAAGAAAAGGAAAAAGTGCAAGAGGAATTATTTCACAGAGGAAAAGAAAATTAAGTGCAGTGATTTATACACACATTATTTACCAACAAGACTGAATCAAAGACTACTGTATATGAGACGTATGCAGAATGTGCATGTGGTCAAATATCTGAGTTATGAAGCATCTTGCCTATTATCAGTAATTTAAGGCTATTATCTGCAAAATAGGGCTGGACCTCTCACTTCCTATTAACACCTGTCCTTGGGGAAAGGAGCCAAACCAGCACAAAACTGTGCTACCCAGCCTCAGCCCCCATGCTGACCCATAAAGGACACCATGGTTGATGGTACCGAAAGTCACTGAGAGGTCAAGGAGAGTAAGGATGGTTGCACTACTCCCATCCTGCTCTTGCCAAAGATCATTGACAAGTGTGACCAATGTTGTTTTCATCCCATAACTGGGTCTGAATTCTGAATGAAAAGGGTCTAGATAACATTTTATCCAAGTCCCTTAGAAAGTGCTAGGCCTTTCTACAACCTTCACCAAAAAGGGGAGGTTGGAAACTGGATGAAGGTTGTCCAGGCTGGTGGGTCAAACCATTCCCAAGGAACTAGGCAATGTCCCAGCATGTCATATGGATTTATTCTATGCATGAGAAGAAACTCGGAATGAATCCGAGCAACTTTGTTCATCAGGAGTTGAACATAGTTCACTGTACAGCCTTGAAGATGATCATCTGAGCACCTTGGTCCTAGGAGGGACTGGGTGAGCCAGTACAGAACTGATAGGTGACACACTGGGGATGCATTAAGGGAAGAGAAGTAATGGTGTTTCACCAGTCTAACTTGTATGAGATAGACCTTAATAGCAGCTCTAAGTGGTGTCTGGTGGGAGTCATTCTTAGTTTCCCTCCAGCAGTACTATTAATGTCCTTTGGTCTTTTCAGAACAGGGGTGGGTTCCTGCCAGTTCTAACCTCTTCTATAGAAGAGGTTCCACAAATCTACCATGCCGTTTAAAACCGGTTCCAGCTCCCTCTCCCCGCCCGTCCGCTCCACACTTGCCTCGCCCACTGCTCACTGATTGGCTGGCTCACCATTCGCCCTGCCGGCCTATAAGAGTCCTATAAACCTTAAAGTCTTAAAGCTGTCAAGTTTGAACACCCCTGGGGTTTTTTTTTTCTAAAGGGTTAGAGGTGCAAGGGTCTTGTAACTTGACAGCTTTAAGACTTTAAGGTTTATAGGACTCTTATAGGCCGGCAGGGCGAATGGTGAGCCAGCCAATCAGTGAGCAGTGGGCGAGGCAAGTGTGGAGAG